AGATAAGAAATCAACAATGAAGACTATTTGGCTAATATTCTGAGACTGGTACTCAAGGATGAACCCCTTCAGAGTCTGACACTCGGCATCTTGAACTCTTGCAGCTTCCTGAGGGACAGAGGTGCTACAGTCAGTCACCTTTGTTCTATTATTGGGTCTTTTCCATCCCTCCTGGCACAAAGCTGCTAAATCCTTTGGGGTTTCTGGAGTGATAGGGACTTTGTTTGTTTCGATGGGGTGACTTGTAGTGGGCTCCTGGCTAGCTTCAGGGTCAGAGCTCCTCACCAGTATGAGAGCCACAACTAGAAGCTAGGGACCTTCAGACTCTCATCATCCTGCTGGGAAGGGAGGGGGATATCAAGTTAATAATTGCCTGTGATTATAATATGACGTCCAGATAAATATCTCTAAAGATGGAGTTCAGAGAGCCCCCAAAAGTGTGGTGATCCCTAACTCTTTGGGGATAAATGTGGCTATTCTTGGGACCCTCTGGGACTAGTCCTATATATTTCTTCATCTGAATCCTTTTTTCTCCAAGACAGAGTTTCTTGGAAACTTTGGATCCTGTCCTGGAACTCGTTCTATAGACCAGACTGGCCTCGAACTCACAGAAATCCATCTGCCTCTGCCTCTGCCTCCCGAGTGCTGGGATTAAAGGTGTGCATCACCACTGCCCAGCCTGAGTCCTTTACTATATACCCTTTACAACAAACCAGTAAGTGTATCCCCCAAGCTCTGAATGATTCCAGCGAATTACTGAATCTGAGGAAAGAGCTGGGTTGTACAAACCTCTTTTTGTTTTTTTTGTTTTGTTTTGTTTTGTTTTGTTTTTCGAGACAGGGTTTCTCTGTGTAGCTTTGCGCCTTTCCTGGAACTCGCTTTGGAGACCAGGCTGGCCTCGAACTCACAGAGATCCGCCTGGCTCTGCCTCCCGAGTGCTAGGATTAAAGGCGTGCGCCACCACCGCCCGGCTTACAAACCTCTTTTTATACCCAGTTGGCCAGAGGTACAAACAGCAAGCAGAGGCAGCCGGCACTTGGAGTGGGTGATCTGGTTGGACCCTGGGTGGATGGAAGGTGGAAGACACCCTTGCTAGCCTGCAAGGGCAGTCCGTTTGCTAGCAGAAGGGAAGTACTGTACAGAAAGAAGTGAGGGTATGGAGAAATCGCTATCCTCCCTTGGTGCTATAACAAAGAGCTTGTTTTATGCATCTGTCAACAATGGGTAACAGTTCTATCTAATCCACGGTTTCATAAACCCTCAGGATCATCAACCTTCTTTACCTTTACTCACAATGGTGGCTGGGAAGTTGGATGTCATTGTGATTTTAATTGCCTTTTCTCCGTGACTCATGATTGCGAGAGCTTTCCATGTGGGCACTGACTGCTGTGTCTTTGTCTGAGTAGTTAGTCCAGTCCTTCAGCCATGACTCACAGTTGATTGTTAGGTCAGTTTTCTGTCGCTATAACAAACACTAATTTATAAGCTAGTTAACTTATGAATAGAAAAGGGTTGTTTCAGCACACAATTTTAGTCATTTAAGTCCATGATTGATTTGGAGTTGAGACAGCTTACTGGAGTGAGTTCTCTCCTTCCATCATATGGGCTCCGGGGATCAAATTCAAGTTGTCAGACTTGGAGCAAGCACCCCTACCCACTGAACTATCTTGCCAGACTCTTGTTAAAGATGTATTTTTGGGTCTATCTTGAAATAACTCATCATGTGCATGTAGCAGCTTTTACTGTCTCCCAATATCACCTTGTTAGGACCCAAATTTCTAACATACGGATCTTTGGGGAAAACTTTGGTCGTTACTTCTTCCCCTTTCCCCTCTGTCTGATTAGTTTTCATCCTCTCTTATTGAGACTCCATTTGTATGTGTTTTATTTATTTATTTATTTTGGTTCTGTAATTTCCATTGGTCTTTTAAAAAAAAACTTTCTCTGTGAAGATATTTACATTGAGATGTCCATTCCTTCCTTTTTATTCTCATGGCTATCTTTTTTTTTTTTTTCATTTTTATTTTTTAGTTTTTCAAGGCAGGGTTTCGCTGTGTAGCTTTGGAGTCTGTCCTGGAACTCACTCTGTAGACCAAGCTGGCATCGAACTCACAGAGATCCTCTTGCCTCTGCCTCCCGAGTGCTGGGATTAAAGGCGTGCACTTCTGTCCAGCGTGATGGCTATCTTAAAGTCTTTGCTACTGCCCATGTCTGTCTCACCTCTACTCTGTTCCTTCTGACCTTGTTCCCTGGCTCATCTTTCTATTTTCCTACTTCAACTGCCTACTGATTTTCTTACTGGATGCTAAACATTATTGGATGGTACATCATTGAGTCTAGACTGTTGTGTGTTGCTCTGGTGGACATTTAACTTTTTTCATGATGCTACTGCAGTGGTTCTCAACCTGTGGGTCACAACCTCTTTGGGGTGGAATGACCCTTTCATAGGGATCTCCTAAGACCATCGGAAAACACAGATGTTTACATTACAATTTGTAACAGTAGCAAAATTAGAGTTATGAAATAGCAATGAAAATAATTTTATGGTTGGGGTCACCACAACATGAGGAACTGTATTAAAGGGTCGCATCATTAGGAAGGTTGAGAATTAACTGCTTTATTGCATTCTTTTGAGGCTTACTATTAATCTTTGATAATGTGGGTCAAGAGTGGCCCCTGTGCTAAGGTTAGTGTAGTCCTCTTCTGAAGGATGGGCATTTTTGGAGCCTCTGCTCAATTCGAAGTGTTTGGTGATAGAATTGACTGGCCAGCAATGTAACATCTGCCATCCTTGTGTAACCTCAGAGTCTCACCAGCTCACCTCCCTTAACAGCTGTTCTTGGTCAGGCTGTGAAAAACACACGTGTGTGCGTGTGGGTGGGGAGCAGAGGTCAATGTCAGGTGTCTTCTCAATGGCTTTCTGCCTCATTTTTTGAGGCAGGGTTTCTCACTGAAACTGGTCTCAAACTCCAGGAATCCCCCTATCTCTGCCTTCCCAGACCAAGTTGTTCACAGTCTGCACTTACAGGCATACTTCTATGCCTAGTTTTTTTATGTGGGGTTCTGTGGATCGAACTCAAGTCTTTCCCTTGTAGAACAAGCACATTTACCTATTGAACTCCCCTCCCGGCCCCTGTGCCAAGTCTTATGGCACGTGCAGTTTTCTATGTGGCCAAAGACTAAAGGGGACCTGTATACAGATATCTGGGTTATCTTTTCTGTTCTGCTCTTCTCTAAAACGCTGCTCCCCAAATTCAAGCCCCTGAGCATCCCCATCGAGTTCCCTTCATCCCACTAGGGGAGCCCACTGCTGTGTGGGGTCTATAACTTGCACTGTCACTTAGACGTGTCCTGGGCGGAAAGCGGGGTTGCCTGTGCAGCCTAGCTCGTGTGTTTCTTTGCTCAGGGCTCACCGACTGTTTTCTTAAGTCTTTATAAGCCCTGAACAAAGCCCTTGGCACATATTAGGTGCTTAGTCAGGTGCTTCCACAGGAGGAGGGCAGGATGAGTCTGGCTCACTGAAGTCCCAGTTCTGGAAATACCCAGAAAACCATTGACATGACCCATCCAGAGAAGCGTTCTCATCTCCTTCACCCACACCCGGCTTCCCTCAGCAGTAACCAATTTTCCCTTCAGAAGCTGGCAAGCATTTTCTGCACATTTGAGTGACTCCGTTTGTGAGACTTGGAGTGTGGAAGTCAGGAGCAGAACCACATTCATTCGCAGTTGAGATGCACACTGTCCTCTAGGGGATTTGATAGACTTTTTCCAAATCAGCTAAATGCTCTCTGGAAGAATTATTGGCGGGGAAGGGAGGCCGCGAACAACTTGGTCTAAATCACCATTCAGATAGATCCTGGAAGCCCTGCATAGAGATTTCATGTTACCAAGAAAAGGGTTCCAAGGGCTCTTCAGAGCATAGGAGGACAGCAGTGCAGGAGATCTCAGTGGGGAGAACCCATGTCGGGCACTACAGATGGAAGAAGCTCCCCCTCTCCCGCCCAGGCCTCCTGCCTCCTTGCATTTGCCTTGAACAATCTACCCAGGCTCCTCATCCTGGGGCTGTTTTTCTGGAGCAGTGAACCAAATGAAAATCCAGGCATTTCCTCTTGTCTTCATCTCCACTGGGAAGAGCAAGCTTGCTTCAGAGATTCGCCACTCCCCCTACACACACACACACACACACACACACACACACACACACACACCACTAACGTCACAAACACTCCCGTGCCCCATTCGAGATGTGTCCCCTGACTTTGGGGCAGTCACCCTCTCTCTCTCTCTCTCTCTCTCACACACACACACACACACACACACACACACACACCACTAATGTCACAAACACTCCCGTGCCCCATTCGAGATGTGTCCCCTGACTTTGGGGCAGTCACCCTCTCTCTCTCTCTCTCTCTCTCACACACACACACACACACACACACACACACACACACACACACACCGCTAACGTCACAAACACTCCCGTGCCCCATTCGAGATGTGTCCCCTGACTTTGGGGCAGTCACCCTCTTCTTACCTTAGGGACAATTTTTATAGTTCAGATTCTTATTTTCTTCCAACTAACATTTCCTCTCCTTCCACAGACACGGTTCTCCCCATGCCTGCATTTTAGTTCAAAAGCGCTGAAGACAAACAAGGGATTGAAAAGACTTAAAGTGCGAGTGTTTTCAGTTTCCTCTGGGGGAGAAAAGACAACAAGTTATGATTTTCTTCCTAACAAACAAACTGTTTTCCATATGTCTCCAAGAGAAAACTGCTTCCCTGTGATTCTGCACATTTCTCTGTCAACTCCAGCCGGGAGATCCTGGGAGCAGTGAGCTGCCTTCTCTTGCAGGGGGGAAATGTGTTTTCCGACTCACGGGCTGATCTCTGAGCTGTAGTAATTGAGCCTGCAGAGCCCACTCCAGCTCCCTGCCTGCAAGGGAGCCAGAGTGTGTAGGGGGGCAGAGGGTAGTTTCTCCCAGCTCTGAGGGCTTCTGGGCAGAGTCCAGGGAGACCTTGCCTCATGGCCTCAGGCAGCTGCTGCCAGTCACCCCTGCTTCTAAGCAGAGTTGAGCAGCTGCTTCTGTGCCGAGGGAAGCGTCTGCCTAGCACGGTCGGGGACGGTGGGGGCTGTGCACTTTGAAGAAAGATGGTACCCTGGTGCCTGATGCGCTGCTGCCGTCTGGATTCCGGATCCTGAGCCAGCTGCAGCCCTCTCTCTCTCTCTCAAACCCTGGACAGGGCTCCTGGGGTGGCTTTTCCCATCCTTGTTAGGACCGCCAAGGCTCAGTCCCAGCCTTTAGCACTTCCTCTCTTGTTTTTCCCTCGGATCCTCCCTCAAGGTAAGCTCTTCACAGGCTGGGTCTGCAGCATGGCCACCCTCCTCCTCCAGCGTCCCTCCTTCTGCGGCCTTCTCTTCTCCTCAGCACCCCCTCCCCACGATGCCGCCTGCTCCCTTGCAGCAGCAGAGATGCTCACAGCCTCCTGACTGTCCTGGGCTTCCCTTTAGGTTGGAATGTGGTTCCGGGATGAGGTATTAATGGCGGAGCTCTAGCTGACCACTTCTTGTTTATCCTTAAAGCCTCAACACAGGATTCTTCCTGCAGGAAGCCTTCCCTCCTGGCTACACCATTCACAGTGCTTCCTCCTCAGGTTCCCCTCACAAATAGGGGTAAATAGAAAGGGGGAGGGTACAGAAATGAAAATGGCAGGGGTGGGGTGGGGGTGGGGAGGGGGGAGGGCCGCCTTACCTACTTTTATCATAACGGCCTCCCCCCTCCTCCCCCTCCTCTTCCTCCTCTGCTTTGAGGCAGTTTCATGTATCTCAGGCTGTACTATGTAGCACTATGTAGCAGAGAACGACCTTGAATTCTTGATCTCCGTGCCTCTACCTCCCAAGTGCTAGGATTCCAGGCATGTGCTACTATGTCCAGTTTGTGTGGCTCTGAGACTTGAACCCAGGGCTTTGAGCATGCTAGGCAAGCACTCTGCCACCACAGCCAGATCCCAGCCCCAGCTTCTTTAGCTATCTCTCCGTGTATGTAACACACACACAAGCTCCTCTGGAGCACAGCTTTTTAATGAATCTCCTTTTACTTCCAGCATCCCCCAGAGGACGTACAGAGACAGGCATTTGCTAAGAGCTGGGGCTGGGACTTCGACTAGCCTCTGCTCCACATTTCTGGCTCATTTTCAATGATGCTGTAATACCTGTTCTCAGAGAAAAGAGACACTGGCACATTTGGGAATCATCTTCCTGCCCGGTCTTCCCTGCCTCTGTCATTATGTAGGTATGCTGGGGTAAGGACTGTAGAACAGATTCTTAACTTCTTGGACAACACTTCTCAAAAGATGTACCCTAGGGGCTGGAGAGATGGCTCTTCTCTGTGGTTAAGGCCACTTGCTGCTCTTACAGAGGACCCAGGTTTAGCTCCCAGCACCCACATGATGTAACTCCAGTTCCAGGGCATCCTATGCCCTCTTCTGGCCTCCAGAGACATCAAGCACATGCATGGTACACATACATTTATGCAAGAAATAACTCAGACACACATTTAAGAAGAAGATGCAGCCTAATTCTTCCCTTCTTGAGCATAGGTGAGTCTTAATGATAGTTTCCAATGAATAGGATGTTACAGAAATGATACGTTAATTTTGAGGCCATAAAAGACATAGATATTGCTGTTATGTGATGGGGTCTTTCCATCAACTCCTGGAGAGACCCACCCAGGCACAGAGAATCCCTGCCCACAGGCAATGAGTGACCATCTTGGAACAAGATAATAAGCTTTCAGATGACTACAATCAGAGCCAAAACTTTGTGGTCTTGGGAGAGATCTTCAGCCACAGTCTCTCAGCTCAGCTACTCCCAGAGTCCCAAGCCACAAAATCTAGCTAATAAATGTCTGTCTTAAACCACTAGCCTTTGAGGCTAAATTACCACGCAGCAGTAGCTAACTGATAGGATTTGTACTCTTGAATGTATATAGACAAGGAAAGAGTGGGATGGTTCTCCCAAGAAAGGGCTCTTCCATTCCAGAGAAGAAAGGAGAGCTTGGCTCCCCAATGGGGGTGCTGTCGCTGTGTCTGTCCCCAGATGGGTACATTTGAACCTGGTTCCTGGTGTAATTGTATGAGGAGGTGGAGGCTTAGGGGGTTGCAGGTCCTTAGGGTGGAGCCCAATGAACGGGATCAGTGCACTTACAAAAGGAACCCAGAAGAGCTCTCTAGTCCTCTAGAGGAGGAAAGAAGTGGACAGCCTGCATCCCAGAAGAGGGCCCTGCCTGTTCTGGACCTTGTCATCGCTGCTTCTCCTTGCTGTGATAAAGTAGTGACCGAAGCAGCTTGAGGATGGCCTTGTTTGGGTCACAGTTCCGCAGGGGCCATACATACCCCATCATGAAGGGGAAAATGGGACAGCAGGCGGGGAAGGCGTGGTGGCAGCGCCGAAGGCTGGCTCGTCACATTGCATCCACACTCAGGAAGCAGAGCCTGAAGAGGAAGCAGGGCTGAGATACAAAACTTCAAGCCCTGGCCTGGGTGGCCCACTTCCCCGAGGCTCCACAACTTTCCCAAAGAGTGCTGCTGGCTGTAGACCAGGTGTTTGTCACGTGATACCTTTACCCTCGAGGGCTTGGCAGCCTTCCCACTGGTAAGAACTAAATGTTTCTTGTGTGTAAGCCACTGACCCTACGGCATTTTGTCACAGCAGCACAAACTAAGATGGTTGACTATGCCCATCTTGGGGTCTCACGGTTTCCAGACTTCTCCGTAACTCTCAGGCTGCCCTAGATGAATTGTGGGCACGGTTGTTCAGCCCAACTTTAAGTAGCCTCAGATTAATTTGTTTAATCCTCACAACCACCCTGTAAGATACTCATATTATCCCAGCTCTGTGAGTGAAGAAACCTAGGTACTGAGCGGTTCAGCAACTCTTCAGGCAGACACTTTCCTAAAGGGAAAAAGGCCCTGGGCACAGACAAAGGCTCACTGCGTGATGTGATTGATGCAGACATTATTTCACTTAATCCCAAATACTACCCAGAGAAGAATAGATCATGGCCTTCTCTTTTAAAGATAACAAAAGTGAGGCCTGAGGAGGTTACATGATTTGCTTGGGTCCCACAGGAAGTGGCTGGTGTGGATTTCACAGCACCCAGCTCCCTCCTGTTCCCACCATCCTCTTGCAACTCTCAGCTTCCCGTGTGTGTGTGCCAAATCCAGAAAAATCCACAGGGCGCTGGCCAGCTGCCTAAATGAAAACTGAGGTGACAGTCTTGAATTCACACGTCCCCAGACACCTGTCAGCAGTTTCCTGCACCCAAGTCCATGTGCTTCCCTGCCGCCTTAGCTAGAGAGAGGGCAAAGCTGGCTGGGGGGCGGGGCTGGGCAGAGGGTGCTGGGGCAGTGAAGCCAGCCACTGTGAACCCAGAAGCACTTGTTCCTGAACCCTTCTTGAGGACACATCTGCCCTTAGACCTGGGATGTCTCAGGATTCAGAGATGCCTGAAGAGAAGTCTCATCTGGCTGTTGGTGGAGAAGCGACCACTCCAGAGGAAGTCTAGCAAGCCCCAGAACAGGCTTAAATGAGAGGAATTATCTGCTTCCTACCATGTCCACGTGCTCCATGCAGCCATGGTACAGCCTCTCTCCAAGCTTTCCTTTCCCCAGCATATGACTCACAGACGTCAAGATGGCTTCCTGTGAGCCAGGAACAGTTAGCTCTCACGATAGTTCTCTACGGAAACAATTCAACCCGTGAGACGAGCAAACATGGCCATAATCCAGGGAGAAGACAGCTGTGTGATTCAGACCTTGAAAGGTTAGGGATTACCCGGAGAGTGAGTTAGAAATCTAGGCAGTTCCACCCTGTCTCCTGACCCGCCTGGTGTTCAACTGTTGTGCGCATTGGACTCTGTTACAGGCTGGGTGATGGGCATAGAATGTTTCTCTTTAGACTTTTGTAACTTTAAAGATTTTTTGTTGTTATTGTTTTTGTTTTTCAAGATAGGGTTTCTCCATGTAATAGCTCTGGCTGTTCTGAAACTCACTTTGTAGATCTGGATGCCCTCAAACTCACAGAGATCTGCCTGCCTCTGCCTCCCAAGTGTTGGGATTAAAGGTGTGGGCCACCACTGCCCAGCAGGTCTAAAGATTTTTAAAACCAAAAATTATATCCACTTTTCTATTTATCAAAAGGCAACTTTTAAAAATCCATAGAGCTGGGCGGTGGTGGCGCACACCTTTAATCCCAGCACTCAGGAGGCAGAGCCAGGCGGATCTCTGTGAGTTCAAGACCAGCCTGGTCTACAGATAGAGTTCCAGGACAGACTCCAAAGCTACACAGAGAAACTCGAAAAAACAAAAACAAAAACAAAAAATCCATCGTAAGAGTGGGATACAATATTTTCTATACATATACCCAATAGAAAACTAATTTCCAAGGCCAGCAAATTGGCTCAGCATATAAAGTTGCTTGCTGACAGCCTGATGGCCAACTCTTGAAAACTGTCCCCTAGTCTCTACCTCTGCTCCAAGGCACATGCACCACCCTTCCACACACAAACATAATAAAAACTTATTTCCATAACATGTAAAGATTTACAGATTAATAAGAAATCTATATGGAGGAACACATGTACATTATATATACACACATGTGCACACCTTTAAAAAACTCAGCATACAAAGAATAAAAACTCTTGGAGACACCTCACAGAATGTGCACAGACACAGGAAGTATGCAGTTTTGTTAGTTATCAGGAGTACACACAGCAGGAGCACAATGAGATGCTGCCAGAGACCTAAAAGAATGTGATTAATAAACAGCAATACCAAGTTCTGTTAAGGACCCAAGTTGATACAGGGTTCTCCTACGCTTTTGTGGAAGTGTATACCGGAAAGTTCTACCAGCACTGAAAATGCATATACCGTATTCCCCAGCAATTCTGATCCTGGGTATATATGACTAAGAAAAAAGAAGATATATTTACCAAGAGATATGTACTGAAGTGTGATGGCAGTGTCATTGGTGATAGTCCCAAATGTCCACAAATCAACGAACCATAAACTGTGGTACACGTGTGTGATATAATATTATGGAGTAGTGAAAATGGAGAAACCATCACTATACAGGACATGACAGCCCTGCTGAACTTAAACACAGCAACGAGCAGAATTCATTTCGATGACAGAAGCTGAAGAGCAGTCGCCTTAGGGAAGGGACAGATGACAGGGAAGGGACCAAGGCAACAGCACCTATATTAGATGGGTTCTGAAAAGGCATGGAGATATAGCTCTTTCTCATATATGCTACACTTACAAAAATGCTCAATTTCTAAAGTCTTTGGAAGACGGAAAACAGAAATAAAAGTATTTTCATATTATATAAATCCCTTGGTTTTGAACACAGTCTATGCAAAGAACTTCTGTATACATGTGCTGGGCAGTCCTTTTGTAAGTTTTATTTTTTCAGTTACCTGTGTGTCTATGTGGGGATATATGGATGAGCACCAGGTACTGGAGGAAGCAAGCAGAGGGTGTAGGAGCCTCTGAGGCTGAAATTATCATCAGTTGTGGATCAAAGGATGTGGGTGATGGGAACCAAACTCAGATCCTCCTTAAGAACCAAGTGTCTCTCCAATCCTAGAATAGCCTTTTAAAAATTGGGTATGATGGAAAATTCCAAAGCTCCTTTATGGGGCAACAGTGAGGACAACCTAAGCCAGTACCGAAAAGTAAACAGACACAAAATCAGTGAGGAAACCAACCTCACAGTATGTGGATCCAAAAGCAAAACAAAAATTGAGTTCCCAAGAAATCAAACTGGGAAGGTGAAAATGCGTGTTTTATAAGATAATCAAAGCAGCGTGGCCACAATGACTGCAGAAGGGGCCTTTTCAGAAAGAAAGCCACGGGTTGCTTCGAGGGGCAAGGATGAGGGGCAGAAAAGATGACGGCATAATGAAAGGGCACGCCAGTGAATAGAAGAGAACTCCCTTGGACATGAAATGCAATCAAGTCAAGACCCATATTTTATCTCTGCTGGAGGCAGTCTTATTTGTTAGTAAAGTGCTGGGATAATCAACCATTGTTCTCCCTGCCAGGACTGTCAAAACAAATACAAGCTTCTTTGCTCAGTGCTAAAAATGTCTAGCCTTTGGAGAGCAGCTGGGCAGAAAGCAATCTTGTTCAATTTCAGTACATTTTCCCCGAGTATTAGGCTGTCCGAATGCAGCCCACATCAAAACATCCCCAGCACCCACTGCAGGGACAAAGCTGTCAGGAGAGCACTTCCCATCAAACTCAAGCAAGCAAGACACACAATGCAGTCACGATAAACTCATCCACCTCCCATCAAAAGAAGCAAAGACTTTGAAGCATACAGAGGCTACCCGAAGAATCATTCTTTGAGGTCCCTTTGATAAACATAAATTATACTGTTTCTAGGCTTGCAAAATGCTATGTATTGATAAGGTTGGTGGCGGGGGGAGCCTTAGAAGTTATCTATGACCTTTTGGCTACCAGTACTGTCATTGCCTCGGGGACATCTTCTCCTTGGCATCTGCAGGATTAGTTTTCCTGCTAGTAAGTCAGTTATCATCAAAACCTGTCTGCGTTGCGGCTTGATGGTTTGTATGGGTAGGAGGAATGCCTGAGAGGGTGCAAGTGGTCAGTTTGGGGATGCAAGTGTCTAAAAGTTACAAATCAACCCAGTGACTTTAAACAATAAGGACATTGGACTTAACAGTCAGGCGATGCTGCCAAAAGCTCAGGTCCTTTCTGCTACTGGGCCCTCATCCAAAGTTCCTTAGTGGTGATGACATCCGACATCACTTCCAGCTGAAAAAGAGCCTAGAACTCAGAACCGTCCTGGGAGCATCTTCTCATTAGGAAGGAAAATCTATTTGCAGAGGGCCTCTCAGCAGACTGATCCCCATCAGGATCAGAAGTGAGTCATATGCCTGTGTCTACAGCAATCACTATAGAAAGGCAAACAAGGTCACACAATGAACACTGAAGTAACTCATTCTTTTTTCTTCCTATGCTGGGGGTTGAACCTATGGGCTTGTACATGCTAGGTAAGTGCTCTAACCCCAAGCCACATCCTCAGCCCTGAGTTATTCACATCTAAACCTTGTGATGAGGTCCTTTTTCTATGACTGAGATGGAGAAGGAAAGGGCACCCATGTGTGAATGTTGTCAGCTAGTAAAGGAGAGCAATGCCGTTTTGCAAGCAGTCGTTTCTGTCTTCTACACAACTAGGATACAGGATAAAACAAGTCTGAGTAAATGGAACCCTGGGCTTCACCGTGGCATATGCAAAATTTCTTCTAGATTTCAACCGTGGTGGTTAAAAATTACTCTGACATTTATTAGTTTACCGTTTCTACTCTTATGCAGAGTGAAATGGTATCTCTGGTATCTAAGGACATGCCCTGCCTCATGCCCTTAGAAAACTCGTCTTTTATTCCAACGCCCAGAATCTCCCAAGTCAGCTCCCACAGCCGTGTGTGCAGTGTGATCAGCGTCCTGGCCAAGATGGACAGTGGAGTGTGGCTGGGCCAATCAGCTTCTCTTCTTGAGAAATTTGGTAAGAGGGCAACACCCAGTGACCTCCCGTTCTTTGTTCTACGTGACAGAGGTGCGCGGGCACGCACATGCACACACACACACACACACACACACACACACACACACACACACACGAGTTTTGGAATAGTTTATGCACCGTGCAACACAAAGATCCCTACATGCCACATGAGGGCACAAATGTCCTTTATCAAAGATGATCAAGGATCTGGCAAAATGTTAGGGTCTTCATTAAAGACTTCCAGATTCCATTTTACAGAACTTCATGTATGAAAACCAAGTAGAGTCACAACTGTCAAAAATTCACCACACGGCGACAAGAGTTGCCTCTGCTCAGCTGAAACCTCCCCCTTGCTCAGTTTCCAACGCTTTAATTCTTTTCCTTAAACAGCACTCCACAAAACACTCAGCAGTAACAATAAGCTGCTGTGCACGTTGTGTTGTGTCCCGGAAGGGTGGGGGATTTGTGCGTATTGAGTTCCAACCGTTTGCTTTTCATGTGTTGTTGACTTGAAGCCTCACCCCATACTGGGTAGTGATCATTATAAAACCATTTTATCAGCAAGGCAGCCGAGCCTTGGTGAGCACATTGATTTGGATAAAGTCACGTGGCTAGGAAGACGTGAAGGAAGGTTGTACACCCACGTTTGGCTGTCTCAACATCTGACGACATCCTGCTGTTATTTGGGGAGACAAGACGCTTTGAAGGGGTGGTATGTAGTTACTTTTCTCGTTCTGACAAAATGCCTGAGGAAAACGAGGATTCCCTGGCTCACAGTGTGAGGGGAGGTGGTCTGTCATGGTGGGGAGGTGAGGTGGCAGGCGCATGGGACAGTCTGGCCATATTGCACCTGAGTCAGAAAGAGATGAATGACGTTGGTTCTTGTTTCCTTCTTACTCATAGGTTTAGGATAGCAGTGCACGGGATGATGCCACCTGCATTCAGGGTGGGTTTTCTCTCCTCAACTAAACATCTCTAGAAACACCCTCACAGATACTCCCAGAGGTGTGTTTCTTAGGTCATTTCAAATCCAGTCAGGTTTACAATGAGTTTAACTACAAGCAACCTGTTAAATACAATGGGGGGATGACCGATGTCCAACTCAGGCATGAGATTTGTGCAATGCACGACATCTTCTCCTAAGAGTGACCTACTAACACTTCTGCACTTCTAAACTAAGCCTGGCTACATCCGGTAGGAACAGGGGGCAGCAATCTCTAACACCTTATTTATAAAGGTGGAAATAAAAAAAGCCTGAGAAGGCAAGGGGCCCAGATGTTCAGATGGACTCGAAGCACGCTGCCACCATCTGGCTCTGCCTCTCCCAGCAGCGAACATTCAGAAGCATTGATTTCTCTTGACTAATTAAAAGTGATCGGAGTTTTGGCTTTGTTTTTTGTCTTCTCCCATCTTTCGAGTACCGGGTTTGCAGTCTGATGCTGCCAGTTAGTGAGAGGGCTGCATACAAAACAGCCCGGAGGGGAACCTGTCAGGATGGGAGCAGGGAGATGAGGGGGAATGGTTCCTTCCATGTGGCTCATATCTAGCCAAGCAGAGTTCAAATCAAACTCCCTCAACTCTTGAAACCCATCCAACGTCATAAAGCTTCCCATCTCCATCCGGAGCATGTAGCAAGCCTGAATCAAAAATGTTATCTTCTTTTGCGGCAATGAACTCTTTCTTCCTATTGAATGTTTTTGTTTTATTTGGGTTTTTTAAAAGCCTCACACGGTTGAATTGTTTCCATTTGTTACAAAGAAATGTTGCATGCTTGTTTTAATGCATTCCAGCATTACAGATGGAAAGCGCAGAGAGAAGAAAGTTGGATTTGAGTTTTAAACACTGTCAATGGCACTTCCTATAAGCCTTGCCAAGGTCGAGACTGTCTCTGAGAATGCAGACTACAGGAAAGTGTCAATTAGTCAAAATGTCCCAGGGAATGGGAGATTCCAGGTTATCTCAGCGCTAACCAGAAAATCCTTTTCCCACCAATCTTTGATACTGGAAATCTTGGTGAAAAGAATGTGTCAAGTTTCCTGCCTTGAGAAGCACAGTTTACCCCAAATACAATCAAGCCTTTCTGATAGCTGCAGGTCAGTCGGGCTGGACCACAGTTCCTTTTGTCCGGAGAAAAAGAAAGCAATACCAAATGGGACTCAGGTAGAATTCGTACTTGGCCCTCTGACCTGTCTGAAGTTTCTGAAATGAGCCTTTTCCTCTCAGTATTTTGTTCCTTTCTCATTGTGTATCGAGGAGGAAAAAGGAGTCTGCCAGATTGGATGCTTTTCTTATATAAATTCCAGTCAAGTCAAGATTCTAAGCCAGACAAAGTAGAGTATTCATGGAATGCAAGTTACTCGCTGAGGCTGAGGCAGAAGGGTCATGAGTTCAAGACCAACCTGAACTGTATAGCAAGATTTCACTTAGTGCATTTAAATTTTTCCATTCAGTTTTTATTAAAAAAACAAAACAACAGCAACACCCTAGGGCTTGCGGAATCCGTCCTTCTCCACCTGGTCTTCCATCCACTCTAAGGGGACCTGGAGAAGTCAGTCCTGCCCTCGTCCTCTCCTTCCTTCCTCTTCATTGCCAGAGTGCAGACTGGCAAAATTGTGCTCTCTCTCTCTCTCTCTCCCACACACACCTCTCCCCTCTCCCTTTCCCTCCCTCTCAGTCTCCCTTTCCCCTCCCCCTCTCCCCTATTCCCCCTCTCTTTCTCCTCTCCCCTCTCCCTCCCTCTCTCCCTCCCCCTCTCCTCTCTCTCTCTCTCTCTCTCTCTCTCTCTCTCTCTCTCTCTCTCTCTCTCTGTTACTTTTCTGTTGTTGTGCCAAAATACCACGACCAAGGCAACTTAGAGAAGGAAGAGTTTATTTTGGCTTATGGTCCCAGAGAGGTAAGAGGCAGCAGGCATGAGGGCAGGAGCAGGAAGCGGCTTCCCCACGAACACAAAGCAAACTGGAAGTGAGGCAGCTGTGGACTCTCAAAGCCCATCCCCAGTGCCGAGCTTTCTCCAACGAGAACACACCACGTGTGTGCATGTGTGCATGTGTGCACATGGGAGGTCAGAGGAGAACACTGAGGGACCTGCTTTATCACTTTCTACATTCTTCTCTTGAGATAGGGTCTCCTGCTGCACTTGAAGCTAGGATGGAGGTCACAAGCTCTAATGATCCTCCTGCCTCCACCCTTTGGAGCTCTGGACATTAGCAACATTTCTGCCTTCTACACACCAGACGCCAGCATCACTCCCTACCACCTTAGACGAGACAACAGAAAGTCTCCAGACATTACCAAATGTCCCCTGGTGGGCAAAATTACCCCACGTTGAGAATTACTGGTCCAGACATGGGCACACATATCCTCCCTCCTCCCCTTGTCAAAATTATGAGTTTTCTTGACCTTGACAGGTAATTTCATAACATGTTTCTAGAGCTGTTTATTTAAAAAAAAAAAAAAAAACCACAGTAATTCTCCGATGAAAGGGATAATTTGACTTGAGTGGATGTGAGGCCTTGTGAAAGCACAGCCACGGGGTCGGCTTTGTTTGTAGAAGATGGTAAATCTGTTTTCAGCACTGCTTCTGATTTGGGTTACAAATACTGAATTTTCAGTCTTCTAAAGTCTCTGTGTCTTTCTCAATTTGACTTTCTGCATCTGTCTCAGGAGTGTTTACCCTAATGTGACCTCTTATCCATGTTTCTTACACCCATTATTCATTTTTTTCCACTAAAATAAGGTTAGAGTTTATGTTGTTGAAAAATATTTTGTAAACTTAAAAAGTTTCCTAATTTGGATGTTATCAATGTCTAATTTTAAATCTATAATAATTTTTCTCTGCCAAAGAAAGTGGCAGTCATTAAATTGGTTTGGGATAAGCAGCTTTTATGATTAGAAGACTTACCCATACACATTAATTATTAAATTTCAACAATTACAGTGTTGGCGTGGGTGAGAGCTGGCCCTGCCCCTCACCTGGGGGAGGGGAGGTCCAATAGAGTCCTGGGCTGACCAACTCAGCTACTAGCCAGGCCCAGATCTAGGGCCTTGAATTGGCCCACCCTACCATCTACCCCATCTATGAGCTGCTGGAGCACATGAAGGGGCCAGTCCTGGGAATCACAATCACAGGAGCTCCATTTCTCGGGACAACAGCAGGATATCCAAGAGGAGTCTGGGTGAGGGTCCAGAATTGATGGTGTAGCAGAGCACAGGGGCCTTGAGCCAGACCAACAGCTCATTGCAATGAACATTTGCAAGTAAAGCTCTTTGGGTAAAAGGGTGGACTGTGAGATACCGCAGTTTCCAATACCACTGTGACTGATGAGTATGTGATGGAGAGGCAGGAAGGGTGGAGGAGCGGCGTGGTGTAAGTATGGTGGACCTGGAAATGCAACAGCTGTGACTGGTATAAAAGAAGGATGCGCTCCATAGAGGAGCAAGTTGTTGCCCAGAGGTGTTGGTGAGATTTTTATCTTCTTTTTGGCAAGGGTTGAGGGCAGATATGGAAGGACTGGGAAATGAGAGGGATTGGAGTGCATGATGGGAAACTCCCACTCAATCAGTAAAATATTATGTTTAAAAAAATTTTCAGTCGGGCAGTGGTGGCGCACACCTAATCTCAGCACTCAGGAGGCAGAGGCAGGCAGAGCTCTGTGAGGTCAAGGCCAGCCTGCTCTACAGAGCCAGTTCCAGGACAGCCAGGGCTATACGGAGAAACCCTGTCTAGAAAACAAACAAACAAACAAACAAACAAATAAATAAACAAACAAATAAATATTTTTAAGAATCAACAATTAAATTATGTTATGATTCCTAGCTAGGGTTCATGTATTAAAGATTTGGTGCTCTGAGCAGTGCTATTGTGAGACGGGGGAATTTTGAGAGGTGAGGGTTGGTGGGAAGAAGTGAGGTCATTGGGAACAGGACCTTGAAAGGCCCACTGTGAGTCTAGAATTTCCACTTCTCTTTCACTGCTCAGATGCCCTGCAGTGAGCAGTTCTTCCCTAGCACACCTTCCCACTGTGACACAAGTGCCTATCACAGGCTTCACAAGCAGTGAAGTCAGCTCACACGGACCAAACTCCGAAATGAGAGCCAAAATAAGCCTTTTCTCTCTGTAAGTACTTGCCTCGGGAACGAGACTGACAAACACGAATTCATTGTTCATGTCTTGCTGATTTTGTATTGTATTTTCATAGTTGCTTGTGTGTTTATTTTACTTAGGTTATAAAAAACAAAAAACACATAAAAACTAAAGGTAATCTTTGACCATAAGCTCATGCAGGCTGGGATGTGACTTAGTGGCAGAGCCCTTGCCTAACATCTGTGAGTCTAAGAGGCCCTGGGTTTCATCTCCAGCACATAAAAATAAATAAATACTAAGAATTTCCATGGTTACAGATGAAGTCGAGACTGCAAAAATTAGTATTAGTGTGTTAATTCCACCAGATTGTTTCTGTATTGAAATGTTTCAATAAGTTGTTATTTATATACATTTACATGAGCCATATTTTTCTTTTAAAATTATTCATTAATTTTTATGTTAGCACACAACAGTGAACTTCACTGTAACATTTTAGCAAACAGTTTTCAGACCTAAAAATGAACATGTACATAGGAAGTTGACAGCAAGAGATGAGCTGTCACTTCAACGTTGCCATCCAGAGGGGATCCCTGTGAACACTGAGGAAATGAAGTGAGATCACCCCGACT